AAAATAACCAAGTGCATTTGGAATAATCATCAATGAAAGTAACAAAGTATTGAAAACCTAAAGTAGACTTAACGCGGCTAGGTCCCCAAATGTCAGAGTGAACCACGGCAAAAGGGGACGAAGCACTGCGTGTGACACTACGAGGAAAGGAAGTACGACTATGCTTGCCTAATTGACACGACTCACATGCCAAACTAGACAACTTAGATAAGGCAAGGACAAGTTGCCGTAACTTGACAAGACTTGGATGACCTAACTGAGCATGGAGAAGAGAGGGAGACTCTATAACTGCACCAACATGTGTAAAGGGACGAAGATGAGAAAGACCACGAGACTCACATCCTGTGTCAATCACCTGTTTCGAACTCCGGTCCTGTAAACACACAGAATTGTTGGTAAAAGAAACAACACAATCAAGAGAACGAGTTAGACGACTGATGGATAACAGGCTAAAAGGAGACCTAGGGACATAAAAAATATTATCAATGGTTAAAGAAGGGAAAAGTTTAACCGTTCCAACACAATGAGATGATACTCTAGAGCCATCAGCCAGTGTAACAGAAGGTAAAGGATCAAGAGAGGATAAAGAGGAGAGCAAAGATTTGTTACCAGTAATATGATCAGTGACTCCTGAATAAAAAACCCAAGGACCAAAAGAAGATTGGGTCAGACCAGCAAAAGATGTACCTGTGTGTGCGACAAACACAGTGGAAATAGAAGACTGTAGATCCTTATACCATTTGAGAAATTTGTTGAACATAGCAGGTGTGTCTGATGAAATAGAGAAGGAGGATCCTTAGGGTGGGGAAAGATCAGTCTGAGCAACTGCAGCAGATCGAGGAGGATGACCATGTAATGCATAATACTTATCAATCTTGTGACCTAACTTGCCACAATGTTCACACTCATGTAATGCATAACACTGGTCAATCTTGTGACCTACCTTGCCTCAATGATCACAATTAGGATGCCCTTTTCCCTGTTTGCGAGGGCGAGTTCGGTCATCATGATGAGATACCAATGCAGAAGAATCATTAGCAGAAGCAGGTGTGTCAGGGTTGGGTTTTGCTGGTATACCCAAAAGAGTGGAGCAGGTCGATGTCAAGGTGGGGACAACCGGAGAACCCAAAATCTGATCACGAATATGTGAATATTGATCAACAAGTCCGTGTAATGCCCCCTAGCATGAAGAACTTTGATCGTTGTACTATCTCGGTGGCAGGGTCGGGGGAAGGAGGCAATAACTCATTGAACTCATGAAAAAGAGCATGAATTTTTCCCATATAATCAGTCATAGAATCTTGATGTTTAGAGGCAATAACATCTACAAATTTAGAACAAACATCATAGAGATGTTGAGTATCATTGGTGTATAATAACTTGGCATATTCCCAGATTTTGGCACATGTTTCGTAGGAACGAAAAAATTTGTTTTAACGAAGGATCAAGAGTACCCTTGAGAACCACACATAATTGAGCATCAATGGTGTCCCAACGGTCTTCCTCACTAGGAGTGAGAGTAGGTGCTTTTGAGGCAAGATGATCAAGATACTTCTGACTCTTAAGCTATAATCTGACGTCTGATGACCATGTGGCATAATTAGGGCTAGTTAACTTGTCAATGGATAAGTGCATATTAACATAGTTAGAGTAGATGGAAGGATAAGACACAGTATTGACAGAATTGGAAGTACTAAAAGGAGCGGAAGAAGTCATAAAGGGTGAAGGCGGCGGAGGCGATAGTGATAGTAGCGTGAACCAGTACACCAGGTAAGTTCCCAGGAAAGAGAGGTGGGTCACTAATGGACACGCTTAAATACCAAGTCTTTCCTTGTCAGAACCTTCCTAGACATGCACTTTCACACTACCAAATAATATCTAGTAACAAAAATAACTTTTTTCTGATGTGAAAGATCAGTTTAACCGACAACGATAGCGCGCGGTGGTGGCGACTCCAACAGTGGTCAAAGGCGAAAAATATTTCAAAATAACCTTAAGCTCTAGATACCATGTTGAATATAGAAGAAATAGAGTTTCAGATTAATCTCCCTTGTGTATAAATCACACATAGGGTAGTCTATTTATAGTAGAGAGATACAACTAAAAGAGTAACTGAAAGTAACAGAATAAACAGAAGATATTGTTTGATATTGTGGTTAACAATATCTAACAATATCTTAACAATATCAAATAATATCTAAACAATATCTAACAGACCCCAAAGAAGAATGCTTCTTAGCCTAAAAAGTCAAACTTATTTGCTGGAAAAAAAACCCATTGGGGAATCTTCGTGTAGAAAACCAAGGTTGCACAACCAGAACAATATCGAAAAAGTTTATGTTGATCCTCAACAAGAACACGAGGATAGTCGTCCCATTTTTTATGATCTGATTGTCGAGTTCTAGCTTGGATCCCAACTTAAACAAATAAATTGAGTTGGGAGAACCATGAATGGAGATCTCCAAGAATGAGTAGAATAAATATTCTACAAAAATATCGATCACTTTGTTTCGAGTGCAACAAATATGTTATGTCTAGGCTTTTTGTGTCATAAACCTGTTATTTTTACAAGGAACAAAATACATAGCTAAAAAAAAAATTAGGAGAAGAACAACATAAAATAGTAGAACAAGAAGTTGAAACACTATTAAAAATCGACTTCATCCTAGAAGTGATATACATAACTTGGTTAAGAAATGTAGTGTTAGTAAAACACTTTTAATGGCAAATGATGCATGTGCGTTGATTATACTAACTTAAACAAATTTTGTTCCAAAGATCCTTATCCCTTACCGAGTATAGATCAATTAGTACATAACATCTCTACTTATGAGACCATTAGTTTCTTTGATGCATACTCGAGATACAATCAAGTACCTATGTACCCACCTGATGAGGAAAAATCTGTCATCATTTAGTTTTTCTTTTGCTTGGGAGTGCAAAAGCTTAAGTGTGAAAAAAATGATAGCATATATTTTGTACACACATTTATAACTTTATTGTACAGTGAATGCATTTTACATATGCTTTATTTTCACTTTTATACTTATTTTTGGTTAATAGTAGTAAATTTGATTCAATATACATATTTGCTCTATTTTCATTTTTAGCTAATTTTATCTTTGTTTCATGTTTTTCTCATAACTTTTTTTATAGACATTATTGTTGGTTGATTCAAGTTGCATTAGATTGTACAGGCTATCAAATGAATATATCGTTTGCAAGATTTGAAGTTTTTTTTTTCTAATTTCTACAGTTTTTAAAAGTTAAGACAAATTTGTAAAGAACCCATGAGAATTTGATTTTTATTTGTATTAGCTTATCTTTTGTAATTGGGCTTGTGGACCTAATTAAAGCCCACATTATGTCCACATTTACTTAAGATTTAAGAGTCTTTATATAAACTAAAAGTGCTCTAAACTCATATAGAAATAATCATTTGTTTAGTTTTCCATTTTTAGGCTATTTTTATTATCATTGTCGTTCATGAAATCAAAGATACTAAGTATGTTCAAAAGATTTTGTAATATAAAGTGAAAATCTAGGTCATTCTTCTTAAAGACACATATTGAAATGTATTCAATTCGTAATATTTTTTTGGCAAAAGTTAATTTGAGGAGGGTTAAAAATGTAAAACAAAAATTGTAAAACAAAATAGAAAACAAAAAGATAGAAATCGAAATCAAAAGAAAAAGATTGACCAATCCATTTCTCAATCATCTTATCATAGTTATCTAAAGATTTCAATCTAAGTTTGAACAATTAACCGATTCATTTAATCAATTAAATCGATTATACAAATTAAATCTCAATATCATTCAATATAATTCATATCTGATTATCAAATCAAGATTCAATTGATTCCTAATTCGAATTATAAAAATAGAATTACAAATTGAAATCTCAAGATGCAAAACTAAAATTAGAGAAGAGAAGAACAAACTCAGAGCAAGAAATGATCGGTGCAAAATTCAATTCGGTTTGTTTGATCTTGATTCCGTGAATTGATTCTCAAAATTTAGTTCTCCATGGATAAAAAAACTATGAACCAATTTGGTCCAAAAAAGAGAAGAATAGGAAGCGTCGAAACCAAAAATAGAGAAGATGTAGAGACACTTTCTAAACTGGAAAACTAAACAAATTATTTCTTGATATGAGTTTAAAGTACTTTTAGTCTATACAAAAACTCTAAATATGAAGTAAATGTGGGCCTAAATATGAGCTCTAATTAGGTTTACAAGCTTAATTATAAAAGATAAACTAATACAAATAAAAAGAAAATTTGCATAGGTTATTTACATAATTTTAGCAAATCTATCTCAACTTAAAAATTGTAGAAAATAGCACATAACTCCAAATCTAACAAATCATATGTTCATTTGATATCCCTAGAAATGTAGAATATAATACAACTTGAATAAACCAAAAATAATGTCTGTAGAAAAAGTTATGGCCAATTGTCAGATTAGATAAAAATGAAAAATTAAAGCAAATATGTACATTGAACCCAATTTGTTACTACTAAATAAAAATGAGTTTAATATTGAAAGTAAAGCATATGCAAAGTGTATTCACTATACAATAAAGTTATAAATATGTGTATAAAATATGTGATATTATTTATTGATGAGTGCAAATTTATGCATTCATTTAACTTATAAACTTAACTTTTAATTGGTTTGTGTGCTTTAGAATGTTGTTTTAATGAGTATTTTTTTATAGCTGGGCTTATTGAGCATGAGTTAAAAAAACATATTAAAAAAACTTTTTAGTTGCATAAATGTGCTTTGGATACTATAAGGTTTGTCAGTGCAATTGTAGCTAAAAATAAGCTTATGGAAGTGTGAAAATAAATTGATTAATTCTTCATGACACCTTTAAGATAAAGCAAAGAATAACAAATAATCAAAACCACAAAAAGTCGACCCAAACATCACATGAAGATAACAAAAAGAGAATGAAAAAAAAAATAAAGAAATGGGTTTGCTGAAAAACTCCACTTGTTCAACGAGAATCCCATCAGCCTAGCGAACAATTTAGTGGCCCAACAAGCTAGGAGAAAATTGACTAAGTGGGATTCACTTTGACCAAGCGAGAAATGGGAGAACGGGCAAGAAAAATTGGACTGCGTGATTTTTTTCTATCTTTTTCAAATGAAAGGGATTTGATAATGCAATAATCGTTATGATAAAAGATAATTTAAGGCAAATTTATTTTTAGATATTTTATTTGATGTTTTTAAATATTTATTTATTTAATTATGTTAAAAAATATCAAAAGATAGAAACTCCCAAATCTTTTCAAATTAGGCCAAATTTTTTTAAATCTTCAAACAACCAAAAAGATAAATTAGATATTAAAATTATTTAAAAGATAATTGTTGGATATTACATCAAAAGAAAGAAGATTTCAATAACAAAAACTATAGAAAAAAAAGGTCAAACTCAATTCCTATATAAGGAGACCTAATGGTGGCACAAAGGGAAAGCTTGACAACCTTTATTTTGTGCAGCAGCCATCAAATATGCCTTTTCCCTTCTTTCCACTCTCTTTTTCATCTTTTCTCTCATTCTTTCACTTTACCATTCATTCATGATGTGTACCACCCCATCCATGGAGTGTTAAGCCTCTGGGGTTGATTATGCTATAATTTCTTAATTGAATTCTGAGGTTAGAATGAAATAAATCATTTGTTCTTTTGATTATTATTGTGATTTATTATTATCTATGTCTTTTATCTTTGAATCAAGTAAAGTAATGATTTTTACATTGTAGCAAGTTAGCATAGTGTTAAATCTACATGTATACTATCATGAGTAAAAGGATTTTCAATTTTTAATTGAGAAATCACTTTGATTAATTTTAGAAACTTTCCTATGATTGAATGAGTTTTTACCAATAATTGGGAAGTTACTTTGATTAAAATAAAAACTTTAATTACAATTAATCAAGAAGTTACTTTGGTTAATTAGTTTTCTATTTGATAAAAGAGGGAAAAGAGGGAAATTTGGTTAAATTTATTATGATGACTCTAAAAAGTTCTTGATTATAATTGAGAAGTTACTTTGATTAATTGTGAGGACGCCAAAAAATTAATTGAGAAGTTACATTTAATTTGAAAATCTAAAACAAAAATCAATTGAACAATAATCTTTAAAAAACCAATGATGAATCCTATTTTGAAAAAACAATGGAATCAACCTATTTCATAATTATTGTTTTATGCCTTTTATTTTGTTTACAATTTATTTCTTTATTTGATTTATTTATTTTCTATTTAATTTATTTTGATATGATAACTGTTAATTGCATACCAAAAATTCATCTTTGCCATATAGTAGTATTAGGAATATTTATATTGACATGTTATTTTTTGCATATTTTGCATCTCATTCATATTTATTTATTTTAATTGTATTTAGTTAGTTAGATCTTTATTATTTGTATTTTGTTTTCCTAACCCTTAATATAGGTTTTATAAGAATTAATTTGTTAAAAATAAATTTCGTATTTGTTGGGATATGACTTTGGGTTAGCTTTACCCTTTCTAAATTTTTGACTACTAACTTAGCAATACTGAAATTCATATAGTTAAGTTGATAGTGTCAACAACAACTTATCAAATTGAGTATAGATCGACAAGTAGATAACATCTCTAGTTAGGAGATCCTCAGTTTATTTGATGCATACTCGGGATATAATCAAGTACCTATGTACCCACTGATGAGAAAAAAAATGTCATCATTATAAAGGGAACTAACTTTTGTTATAAAGTAATGTCCTTCAGACTAAAAAATGTTGGTGCAACATATTAAAGATTGATGGACAAAGTATTCAAAGATTTAATATGTGACGTAATAGAAGTTTATATGGGTGACATAGTCATCAAATCTAAAAAAGTTATTAATCACCCAAAGTATTTAGAAAACGTCTTTGTTGAGGTTTGAAGGCATAACATGAGGCTTAATATTGAAAAATGTGTATTTGGAGTAGGTGGAGGAAAATGCTTAGGGTTTATGATCACACAAAAAGGAATAAAGGCAAACCTGGATAAATGTAAGGTTATCCCAACTATGCAAAGTTCTCATTATATTGAAGAGGTTCATTGATTAAATGGCAAGTTAGTCTTACAAGTCCAGTTCATTCTTAAATTGGTCGAGAAGGCAAAACCATTTAAGTTACTAAAAATAGCTGAGAAATTTGAATGGAACAAGGGGTACAATAAGGTGTTTCAAACAATTAAAAATAACATTGACTCCCTACCTATCTTGACAAACCAAATCCCTAGAGCTACTCTCTTGGTAAATTTGGCCACCTCTAACTTGGTCCTAAGCTTGGTACTAATATGTGAAGAACATAGTAGATAAAGTCTAGTATATTCCACCAATAGAATTTTATAGACAAGTTACTCTACCTTAGAAAAACTAGTTTTAGCCTTAATAAATTTGGCTAGAAGGTAGAGACAATATTTTTAGAGTTTCTATAATAGTTAAAATAGACTACCCAATTACAAAAGCCTAAGTTAGCCGAAAGAGTGATAGCATGGACAATTAAACTCTTTAAATTTGATATAACATATGAAAGTTGAAGTCTAATGAAAGATTAATTTTTAGCCTATTTTCTTATTGAACTTTCTCCTTGAGGAGAAATATATAAGTCATGGACCTTATCAGTAGATGACTCTTCAAACAACAAGTGAAGCAAAGCTGGAATCATTTTAGAAGGTGTTGATGATATAATATTCAAAGAAGCTCTCATATTAAAATTCTTAGCTTCTAATAATCAAACCGAATGTGAAACACTAATAATCGGTCTAAAACTTGCAAAAGAAATGAGAGTAAAATAGCTTTGCTACATAAGTGATTTAAAGCTCATAACATGACAAATCAATGAAGAGTTCCAAGCCAAATAGCCCTCCATAAAGTATTTTTGTATGGACAAAAATCTAATAAATGGTTTTGAACAATTTGAGACAAAACATATACCCAAAGAGAAGAATGGTCTAGTTAATGTCCTCTTAAAGGTCATGAGCATAAAGAAACCTGGTTAGCATAAAACATTAGTACAAGAAACATCGAGAGCACTGAGTCAGGATCATGATGATGTATTCTACATCAATCTAGCCAAGTCAACTTGGATGACTCTCATTATGCATTATTTACAGAATGAAAAACCTCAAAGCAACCTAGATGAAGCTCGAAAAATGAGGAGAATTGTATTGTTCTTTAACTTACATAACAAATAATTATTTGAAATAGGATTCTCAACTCCTCTGCTAAAATGCTTAGATCAAGACCAAGTCAAGCATGTGATGAATGAATTATGTAATGACATATATAGAGTTCACTCAGGAATTAGAACTATGGCAACTCAGATACTTCGAGTCAGATATTATTGGTTGACCTTGAAAAAATACGCAAAAGAGATTTTAAAGAAGTGCCAAATATGTCAAAAATTTGGCCTAATAGTTAAATCACCACTTGAGGAGTTACATAGTGTATTATCAACATGGTCATTTGTAAAAATGGTGCATAGATATACTCAAGTCATTCCCTGTGACCAAAGAATAAGTACAATTCTTTATTGTTGCAATAAATTATTTCACGGATCAAAGCAAAACCTTTAACCATCGTCATGATCCCATAAGTACAAAATTTTATGTGGAAAAATATAATATGCACGCATAGGATTCTACGCACTATTATAACAAATAATAGAAGGTAATTCACTTATAAAAGTTTAGAACAATTATAGGAAGGGTTATCAGTAAAGCATTTAGTATCATTAGTAGAACATCCTTAAACAAATCGATAAATAGAAGTTGCAAATAAGGTTATATCAAATGAGCTCAAACAAGCGAAAGGATGTTGGGCCGAAGAGATTTTTAGTATACTCTGGGATATCATTGCACTGTCCAATCCTTAATGCAAGAAACTCCTTTATGTCTAACTTATGGTACTAATGTCATAATACTAGTTGAAATAGGTGAAGAATCCTTAAATAAGAACAGTTTTGAAGAAATTCATAATAATGAAAACCTCATAATCGAGTTAGACTTGGTAAATAAAGTTTGTGATCATGCTCATGTAAAAGAGGAAGTCATTAAAAGGAGAGTTGAAAGGAGATATAACACAAAAATAAGAAAAAAAAAATCCAAAAAGAGACCTAGTATGGAGAATAGTTGGAGAAGCTTGTAAAGAGCGAGTAGATGAAATTAGCATCAAACTAGACGGTCTATACCAAGTAGTGGATTCATTTCAAAATGGAGCATACAAATTGCAATAATTGTTTGAAAAAATGATACCTTGAACACTAAATGCAACCCATCTAAAGGTATATTGCAACAGAGGTAAACAACAAATATCTCAAATTTGAACAAAGTTATATGTTAATGTAGGTGTCACATTGAATCCACCCTAGGATTGTTAATTGAGACATGATTAAACTAAGTTAATAGACCTTTCATTCCACGAATCACACAAGTCAACAAATGAGAAAGAGCTTCACAAGGAATCTAGGGCCAAGGAAAAGCTAGTGGAGTAGGGCTAAAAGGGTTGGATTCACTAAATTTAATCTCTTTGGAGCTCGATCACCTCCCTCAACAACAACCCGGACATTAGGGCCATCGCAAATCTTGACATGATTCTTTTTGTAGTCAAACTTGGGACCCATAATATCTACAGAAAAATCATAACTTAGTCAACCATTGAAAACATATTTTTTTTTTCAAAATAAAAATATAAAACATATATCTTGTCCAAGAACCAAACTCTCGATTCATTGACAAGAGAAACAAATCGTATATCCCTACATTTGATAGGTTGAGGAAGACTTGACAAGATTTTGATATTCATTTTATCCTCAGGAGATAACGAATATTCTAGTAAAGACTTTAATTTGTGGGGAACCCGCCAATATAGAGGAAAATAGGGCATTAAGGAAACGTTTTCAAGATGAAGCATCCCAAAAACATTTTATTTAAAAAAAACGAAATTTAAAACACTTGAAGGAAGAGGAAAACACAGTAAATAAACCATCATGCTGAGATCCATTAAGAGATACCTAACGACTTCTTAACCATGTTTCAATTGATAGAAATACATAAACTTATTTACAATAGGAGACAAGTTCATATTATCTCACAAAATTTGAAAATCCTTTAAAAAAAGCCCAACTATTAGAATGTAGTTGACTTAAAGTAACACACAAGATGGATAACATGTCACGTTCAAAATCGGTAAATAGAATAAGAATATCTAAGTCTTTAAGGAAACATTCATAGGCAAAAGTAAATTTCTTGGAGTTAAGGGTAGGTTACATATAAACCCGATCAGAGGGAGATCAAGCCTTAATAGTTACTAAACCAACTTTTGAATCTAAACAAATGTCATATGTTTTACAAATATCCTCTATGAAAGACATAAAGGTAAGATAAGAAGAATACTGGATCGAGATTGGAAGAAACTGAGTCCTCTGACTCTTCCTAGTAGAACTTGGACTAATGCTGATGTGGACATAAAATCCCAAGCCTATGACGAGAAGGATTAAGACCAAGATCCAATCCAAATATTAAAAGCTTCAAACATGGAGGAGTCTAAACCTATCACAAGCATAAAATGCTTGGAGAGCTAGGAGGCCAACTAGAAGATTTAGTTATTATTATTATTATTATTATTATTATTTGCTACAGTGTGGACTTGAACCCAAGACCTAAAGCTTATAATGCCTTCACTAAACCATCAGGGCAACTTAACTTTGCTTGGGATATTAGGATTTTAATTTATCTTTATTTTCTACAAATGAGACAAACTCATAAACTTAAGTTGTATTAAACATTTTGGAAATTCAGAATGAAGGTAGTATTATTCAGAATCAATTTGTGAGTTGTTTCTCTGTTAGGATTCTTACTTGCATCTTGTGATCTTATCAAGAATTCTCCCACCTTCCAAAACCTAACCCTAAATTGTTTCCCTTCTATTTCGAGTGTCATCATTAATAGTTACTAAACCCGATCAGAGGGAGAGTAATCCTTAATAGTTACTTGTCGCCGCCGTCAAAAAGAGGCGGTCGGAGCGACGCGATGGTTCCGACTTTTCCAATTTTCGCGTTTTTATGGGTGTGGTTACAACGCCTTTAGGTTGTCCGATAACCGGGCTGAACCTAGGGGTGAGGTTTTCAAAAAGGTGTTCTTGGATTGTCCGATGTAGACCCCAAATCTTGCCCGGCCTCATAATAAAGACCAGAAGACCTCCTTTTTGAAGATGGATGAAGCCTAAGAAGCCATTAGGAGAGACTATTAGGCCCCATATTAGAATAGGAGGGATTTTCGGCATGTAAATAAGGATTTTCACCTTTTAGGATCGAGACCGCCATCTCGTATTCGGGACCGCCGTCTCACCATTTCTACAAGGCGAGACGGTCGTCGGCCGTCTCAACCTTGTCAGACGAGATGGCCGTCTCAACCTGACAGGCGCGAATCCCTATAAATAGTCGCGTCATTCCCCTCATTTCACACAGTTCTTCCATTCTCTCTCTAGTCACCTCCTCAAATTCTCTTTCTAGAATCCCTCCGAAGCATTTCCAAAGTTTCTGAGAGCTTTTTAGAGTTTTTATAGTGTTTTCGAGAGATTTCGGCGCTGTAAAGAGTGAAGGGCTGCCAAAAAGCACCCTAGTTTTCAATAAATTAATAGAAAGCTTTCCTCGGAGGTTTCTACACTCTCTCTCTCTCTCTCCTTTACCGCTTTATTTTTAATTATGCAATAGATATTAGGGCCATGTAGTCATAATTTTAAATTCCGCAAATAAAGGGTAAAAGCGTATTTTCACCGGTTTATTTATTCAAAGTAGTTGGCCTATCATAGGGAACCCGAAAGGGGCGTCGTAAGGGAACTAACACTTCCCTTACGCGTAACTAACTCCCTTACCCAACTCTGGTTCTAATGACCAAAGTTGGTTTTTCGAAAAACCAACGCCTTTTTACTCATTTTCCGATGTTTCCGGTAAAAACATCGGTGGCGACTCCAGAAGAACCCTCCAAAATTAGTTCTTGGGTTAGCCCGGTTATCAGACAAACCAAGAGCGCCCTTTCGAAAACCTCACCCCTAGGTTCAACCCGGTTATCAGACAACCTAAAGGCGTTGTAACCACACCCATAAAAACGCGAAAATTGGAAAGTCGAAACCATCGCGTCACTCCGACCGCCTCGTTTTGATGGCGGCGACAGATGGCGACTCCACTGGGGAAGCCTAGAGAGTTGATCCCATTTAGTGATGGGCCAGCCTAAAGTAAATAAACCAAGAAAATTACACTTTTACCCTACCTTGTATTGTAACATGTTTTAATGCTTGACTTTAATAACTGTTGTCTGTTTATACTTACGCAATTGTTTAATACAAATTGTACACAAACCCTTGCACACTACAGTTCCCTCTATACCCGGGGGCAAGTGAGAAATCCATAGGGAGTGGGTGGCAGGTACGGTTCGCTGTAGTGATGGCCTTGTGCCCACCAGTGTGATCGGAAACCACCACTCAAGGTGATAACCTTCCTCTTTTGGCACAAAGATTGACTATGGCCTTAGTGCTAACCATGGTGGGAAGGCTGGAGAGTGGGGACCCTATAATGGGGGCACCTTGGGGGCCTTAGCCTTGGTGAGGATAGTTAGAACCTACCTTCGCCAAAACACTTTTCTGCAGGAAAACCCTACCTCGTGATTAAAACGACTTCTCGCCTGTTCGTGGATGATCGAATTGTGTGTGCATCTGTTTGTTGCATTTGTCTGTTGCATAGCATAACCAAACAACAGAAAAATCACCAAAAACATTTTTTCAATAAACGCCCTTATCTCAGACAGTCTGCCTTTTAGTTAGCCTGGTTTCAGGTTCTTTGTAAGCTAAGTAGCCACGCAGTCCGACAAAAGAGATAAGGGACGCTAACTATTCTTTCGCATAAAGCCATTTTTTTTATCTCAGACAATCTGCCTTTTAGCTAGCCTGGTTTCAGGTTCTTTGTAAGCTAAGTAGTCACGCAGTCCGATAGAAGAGATAAAAGGCTATAAAATAAAAATAAAAATAAAAAACAAAATTCAGTTTAAAACAATAAATGAGACCTTGTTCAAAAATATTACACTCATAAATCATTCATATAGGTAGTTTATTTTTAAAAAAATACGCAAATACCATACAAAACATGATAAATAGAAAAATAAACACTCACATTCATTCCATAAGCATCATTTTCATAAGACATGCATTTTGGTTTTAGAAAATGGAGGGGACTAGTAGACAATTGAAGAAGGTGGACATTCCTCGATACCATACTGAGAAATTGGAACGGCTTTGCACGATAATGCCACCAGAGGTCTGCTTCGACTTTGAAAAATCCTATGGACGGATTCTAGACCTGCTGAAGATTTGTGTCGATCAAGTTTTCATCAGGGTATTAATTCACTTTGGAACTCCAGTCTGCGATGCTTCGAATTTCCACAGTTTGATATGGTGCCCACCTTGGAGGAGTACGAAATCATGCTGAAATGGCCCAAATTAGCCGGGGTCCATATCCGCCACGGGGCATATACTCCTGCAGCACAAGTCGCTGCCATCATTCAACTACCATTCCGGCAGACCACCCTGATAGGAAAAGGGAACATCCAGGGTTGGAAAGTCTCAATGTTAGAAGACCATCTGTCCGATTTGGCTGAAAGGACAGAATGGGTCGCTTTTAACAAAACCCTGGCCTTAATCATATTCAGAACGATCTTGTTTCCCTTCCACCTCGACACAGTGGATCAAGCCGTCATGGACGCCTTCTTCGCCTGGGACGTGAACTCGAAGAGTCCCTTGCCTGCAATTCTTGCCGACACCTTGCTCTCGGTGGAATTCTGCCGCCAGAAGCAAGGAAAAACACTTCGTTGCTGCTCTTCACTACTCTTTGTGTGGGGCATTACACATTTTTACGCCTCTAGTCACATGGGGATGTTCCCCGACCCTTTGAGGAGCTTCTCCAAAATCCCTCTCCAACGACGCTTAACTTCAGAGTGGAAGGACGAGTTGGAACAATGGGACGCCAACAATTTATCCTGGGTCTGCCCTTGGTTCCGACCCGGTCCAGTCCTCATCAGATGTGGAGACTATCCGAACGTACCCTTGATAGGACTCAGGGGTTGCATAGCCTACTCACCTAGAGTAGCTATGAGGCAGCTCATGAGGACTCAAACTACAATTTCTCGAGGGGAACTCGAAGGACTGTGTTTCTTCGGAGACCCATGCACAATCGCCAACTCACTAGCCGTGAGAAAAGCATGGGAGAAACCAGTCTTTATGGGAGACAGAGAGCTAGGAAAAGCTCGAGTGGCTGTCTCTAGTGACTATGAGGTGTGGAGAAAAAGAAGAGGGATGTCTCAACCATCCACCTCACTCGTTACAAGCGCCAATAGTGAAGAGCTGCAAGATCAAGTCGATGCCTTGACCCAAAGGATAGAAATCATGGGAGCCCAGATGAGGACCCTTGAAGAAAGAGAGCAAGAATCTATCCTCACCATTGATGGTCTGCAAAGGCAATGCAAGAAAAATGATCATGAAATAGAGCGCCTCAAGGACCAATGTGCTAACTCTAATGAGCAAGCTATCCGAGCATCCAAAGCTGCCAGAACCAGCTCGGATAGCCAACTTCAAGAAAT